CCCAGACCCACAGTAAACCAAGGAGTCAGGGCCTACGTGTCAGGGGAGGTGGAGGGGAGGGGCAGGAGACCTGGAGACTGTTCCCAGACGGGCTCAGACTCAAAAACCTTTAAAGACTGGGATGATGCAAAGGGCAACACTTCCAAGATGAGGGCTTCCAGAAGAGGCGTTCCTTGGCACGAAGAGGGGAGTGGGGGCTCCTGTCACCGGGCCTCAGCATCCAGCAGAGAGTATGTGAGCCCAGAGCCTCTTCCAGGTGGTGGGGTTGTGTGTCTTCCAGCTGCTGTGCCCTCTCTTGGGATTGGGGAAGGGGCTCATCACTCAACTTGTCTTCAGAGTGTGACTGAGCCCTTAAGAATCGACCTGCCAGCATCTCCTGCTTTTCCTCCTCCCACCTGCAGGGCGCTCTGCAAGCTGGGCTTGGGGGCTCAGTGTGGAAGAGGGACTTTTCTGGGTGGCCAGTGTACTTGGCCCTGCGAGCCCCCAAGGGGTCAGGCTGAGGGACACAGGCTTCTATGGGGGGAGGTCTGCCCCTCGGGGGTGCATCCGGCCCAGGTCCCAGGCCTGGGGAGGGTTCCCCTTGCTGGGCAGTGCTGTCTGGGACCTGGGACCCTGCTGTTCACACTTGCCAGCAGCTGAGATCATAGGAGTCTCTGACCCTTAGCTGACTGCTGACCACCGGTCAAGGAGTAAGCAGAAAGCCGCCATAGCCACAGGCCCAGGCTTCCCTAGGCCTGCCTCAAGGGGGTTGGGAGGACATGGATGAGTAACAACATCCACCAGGAGCATCTTCCCAACTCTGGCCTGGCCAGTCACAACCATCGGCCCCCAGGGTTTGATCCACAACCTTAGCCCAGCTCCACTGCTCCCCACTCTGCTCACACAGGCAGGGCAGGGGTCCCTGGGCACAGGCTACTCCCACGAATGCCAAGCTCACTGAACTAATGGGCAGTGCAAGCCCTGAGCACGTAGGCCGGGGGCCTCATGACGCTCAGAGGCAGGTGCTTGGGAAAAGGTGGCAGGCAGCTCCGGGGAACCTGCCTCCACACACAGGCCCACCAGGCCCCAGCAGGCAGACTGAGATGCTACCAGGGGCCCCGAGACCAACCCTCTTGATGCTGCAGTTGCTTGGGTGAGGGGCTCTTCTTCACATTAGCAAGTGGCGGGGGGGAAGCCTCAGTGCAGTTGAGGGTGTGGCTGTGTCAGCAGAGATGGAGGCCATCCTGCAGAGCGGGCTGGCTGCCCCTGGTTCCAGCAACGCCCGGTCCAAACCACCCAGTCCCAGCCCACAAACACAGGGCCCATGCTCTCTGAAGAGGAGGTGCATAGAGAGGCCACAAGTGGCACGGTGACCTGAGTCCCAGCACTGGGAGGGGGATGGCTCCCCTCTCCTCTTCCCCAGCACTGGCCTGGGTACCACTGGGCCTCCACCCAAGACTTTTTTTTTCTTCTTCTTTTTTAACTTGCAACCTTTTATAGGGCTGACATGTTCTGACAAGGAGTAAAACACTCTCAGGAGACTTCAGGATTCAGTTTACATCTGATGTACTGTTATTTTCGTCTGAGACATTCATGGGGAAGAGGCAAAGTGAGTACTGGGTCAGCCCAGGCAGAGGAGGAGGTGCCTGGCAGGGCTGAGGGAGGGCAATGCTGCCTTGTCCAGTGGCCCCAGGATAGTAAGGAGTGACAGGACATGGTGTCAGATGCTGCAGAGAACCGCTGGGGTGAAGCCCCTGGAGGAACATTGTTTATCCCTACGCCCAGCATGGAAGCTCCCTACCCAGAAGCAGGGAAGGCTCCCTGCCCGTGTGGGTCCTGGGGCCTCCACAGGGGGGAGGTCTCCTGTCTCTAAGGTCCTGAGTGCCAGGCTCCTGTCCCATTCCTCCCAAAAGGTGCCAACTGCATCCCTGTAGGTGGGTGTAGCTGGGCCCTGTAGGGTAGTGGGAAGGAAAGCAGTGCCACTGTCCCCAACAAGCACTGTCCCCAAGCCAGCTGAGGGTCCTAGTGAAGATGACCTGTCCATCCACCAGCTGCTGCCCACGTGATCAACACCCAGCACTCCACCCTCCCCCTCCCAGGTCCTGTCCCCCAGGGGAAGCCTTTGGGACCTGGCCAAAGCCAGCTCCTTCCCTTACCTCATCCACCTTTCAACATCCAGGACCCGAGTGGCCATGGACTCAGAGCTGCCATCTAGACCAAGCTCCCTCACACAGATGCTAGCCTTTGTCACTCGAGGGTCTGGCCCTTAACGCAAATAGGAGACTCAGCCACCAGACGCCCTGAGGTCCCAGGCCCAGAGCCAACCGAGGTCTGATTTCAACTGGACCCCAGACTCCTTGTCCAGCTCCCTGCTAAATCCTGCCCAAAGGACACCACCGACTGCCCAGCTCTGGGCAGGGCAGGGGAAGGAGTTGCGACGGCTCACGCTGCTGCTAGAGCTGCAGCGGAGGGTCAGACAAGGCCACGTCCTGGGAGCGGACGCCAGAGCAGGACGCTCTCCTGCCGCGGGGGTCCCGCGGGCCAAAGGCCGGCCAGCATCCCACA